AACGCTAGCCACGACAGGGATCGGCTTGGCACTATAGCACCTGATATCTCCTTCTTACTCGGGGTCATGATCAAAGTTTTGCCTTTTGAACATTCGTCTTTCTTCATGATTGTTTTTACATTGGAACTTGATGACGAAGAAAGGTTTAGCTCAAGGTCCAGATGTGTCCTATGATCTTCAAATGTCTCTGACTGGGTCTGCAAAACAGAATTGAAACATGTTTTAGTTCATGTTTGTGTGCATATCATTACATACATATTTCAATCTACGCATGTTTGTATACCTTAGCGTCAAGGTGAAGTTGAACATCAGGTTTTATCAGCATGGTGCTCTCTGACTTTGATCTTTGATAGAACAGAGTAGGGTTGTTCTCAAGTTTGGCTTGTTTGCTTCGCTTGAAGGAACCATGAAACGATTCTCCATTTTGATCTCTCTTTTTCGAAGAGAAGGTTTGATCATGTAGAGAAAACATTAGATCTTCCACTCTATTATTATGCTTAAGAATCTCTCACTTTGCTTTGGTCTTAGAGAAAGAATGATCAGATAGATGAAGAGTTTGTGAAAGTCGTATAGATATATAAAGAGGAGTCAGAGAGTTATTATCTCCCACCGGTTCATGAAGAATAGTAGACAAGAGTAAATGAGTTAGATACCAAAATAAAAAACCGTAGATTATCGCATAGGCTTTTATTTTGCATGGTACAAGACAATTTTTGCCTTGGTATTTGTTACTCGAGGAGTTACTTTGCATAAATGATCCATATTAGTGCTCATATTTATCTAAATAATGGTTACTTAAGTTTTTAGTCAAGTATACTTCTCAAAGCAAGATTAAGTCCTAAATTTTTTTCTTACATTAATTTGAGTTTTAAAGGAAATTCATAAAGGGGAATGAGAAAATGGAAAAGTAAAGTAATATGTAGATATGATGTGTGAGTTCCAAGTTGGGTGTGTTCAATAAGTGAGGGTATTGCTCCAAGGAGCCTCATTGAAATGTGTAGATTTGTAGTTTCTATTGAATTCCTCTTTCTGTTTATTGCTTTTTTCTTCCACCACCATTCCATTATCATCAATCATGATCTTGACGTATGATGATGCATGTATATAAAACCTGCATACGAATTGTATGTATTCTTGTTTTTTTTTGGGGGGGATAAATATGTATTCTGTTGGTCATGACTCATGAAGTTCGTCTACATGTATATATAAACTACGTATGCATATTTATGATGAGTAGTGACGATAAGAGGTATGTGAATGTGTGAGTGAAGAGGTCAATAAATATTAAATAGAGAGAAACTAAATACAGTTGAAGGAGGAAGGTTCATGACTTCATGAATGCCGATGCAACTTTAAATACCACAATAACTCTCACTTCCTTATTTTCAATATATAACACCAAGAATACCAACATATAAATATCACGGTATTAATACTCCATATTAAAATTGTTTGGAGTATTATATATCTTAATATTGAAAATATTCCATAGTAAAATTCCAAACAATTTCAAAGAACAGATAGAAACCTTGTTCAACGGCCTACCATCATCCCACGACCTTCACTTCCTCATTTATTTTAAGGACTCTTTTCGTCAGCTTCCTAATAAATCGCCTTTCTATTTTTTCCCTTTCTTTGAATTCAACGGATGCATTATATATACATGTATTGTATTTAACTAGCGATTTCAAAAGAGATATATATTATCGAATAAGGGTCAACCCATAGAGTAGTAATTAACAAATTGCGAAAAAAAAAAAATTTGAAGGATGGGAGGAAAAAGTTTTTAAAGCTCACAAATCACAACAGGAGCTACTTCATGCATGCAGTTATAACTAAGATTTATGTCTCAACAGTTTATTTAAAGCTAGCACCAGAAACTTACTATAATTTCATGAATTGAAATATGCAAGAAATATAGAAGAAAACAAAAGTTGTTATGAAATAAAAGCTCCAAGTAATATTTAGTTTCGTCACTTATAAAAAAACATTAGTTTGGTCATGGATAACATAATTTGTAAACTCCGATCCTATAAACACAATTTCGGACCAAACACAAAAAAACAAGCATTTTTTGGATTGAAACTCGAATAGCGATTTTAAAAGAGATATTTCAAACAAATATCTATAACCAAAGAAAATCGAAAAATTGAATGAAAGAATCAATAGGTTCTAATCAGAAAAATAGATTAAATGTTGAAA